AAATACGAAAAAGCGTGCTTGTAAAAATCTGATTTTTCATTTAAAATGTATGGCAAAAAAAACAAAAAACATTCAGCACATTTCTGCAGTAAATACAAATTTCTTTATGTTTTATCCTTTTAAAAATGCTGCAAATATAGAAAAATACCCCCTCATCTGCCAGAAATCCAGTGAGCTCCCAACTTCCTGTTTGGGCTGACAACACAATGCCTTGGCTGCACTGAAATCCCAACAATCGTTGTCAGCACTGCCTGTAGAACTATAGATCTCTGCCTATTCCTGTCCCTCTCTGTCCCACTCCACATGCATACATGTGGAGTGGGACATTAAGTGGGACATTAGCTTTTGTAAAAATTAAACATTAAGAGTTTTCTTCCCAGAAAACAATGCTGCCGTCTTGACACCTAAGAGCGTGGTCACACACTGTTTATAGGAAAAAGACTCTTGGAAAATGTAGTTCTGGTGATGAATATAAATATATCATCACAAAATGTAACTTTTCCCCCTATGTGGCAAACTAATGTTAAACATTTTTACCAGTGGAGTCTGAAAGAATTGAAAGGCGCGATGGTAGGTCATCCCACTGGTGCCCCCGCCTATAACTAAAATATACATTTTAGGTGGCTTTGGCTTTTGTAAAAATTGCCAGAAAAATCCCCATTTTCATTATTCCTGTCCCACGATCTTCGGCTATTTTTGGTTCCCCGTTCAGGAAAAGAAATCAGAATGTGCAACTTACCGTCAGTGATCAGCGCTCGACTCGTCAGGACTCTGCCCAACATGAATTTTACAGCAGCCAATAGGGAGCAGAGGATCCCGCTCAATATGGAGACACTGAACAGGAAGCTGTCCTGCAAGAAAGAGAGAGCGCCGGGTTAATGAATCCCGCTGCCGCCTTGCAGAATGGGTAGGGGCCTTTATGTACAATGTGCCAGTGTTTCAGGACCACGGACAGCATGTAGTGCGTTATATTACAGCAAAATCCAGGAACATTGTACAACATTTATTTTTTCATAAGCTCAGAACTAACGAAATGTTTTTCAAATATTTTAGCCCAATCAATATAAAATGTTGCACATTAAAATGTTACTTTTTCCTGTTCAGCCAGCGGGTGGAGCTTTAGGCTTCTCTTTACGTTGTATGGTTACTCAGTTTGCTTTTGTGATATCAAACCTGTTTACAGCGCTCAATAGCTCAAGCTGCAGTTTACACTCTTCTCAGTGACTCACTCATCACTGAATAGCTGAGTCCAAGGTCTCAGTCAGACAAACCACAATCTCAATACAACCAGCAGCTGCTGTCTTTTTAGCTACCCCATAGTGCTCTGGGACTCCTTAGTCATGAATTAAAGTGACATTAAAGTAAAAAAATAATTCCCTCCCCCGATGTTGATTAAAGCACTTTCCTTAAATGATATCTCTTAATCCGATCTTCTTTCATCTGTCCCTCCAGCGGTGCGGCGGGTCTCCGATCCAGCGCTGACTTCTCTGTCCTTGCTGGCACTTCCTGTCCCACGGTGTCTGCATGCGGGTGCACGCGTCCATAGACTTACCTTGCGTCTCTCGTCATCTCGTGGCCGAAATTGTGAACTGCACATGTGCCCGCCCCAAGACGGGAGTGCGCAGAGAAGACATAGGTAAGTATTGACCTCTTATAAAGCGTTTTTAGTTTTTTTTAACACTTTTTGCATATATATCCTGCTTGCTAGCCTCATATATATGCAAAAAAACAGAGGCTTTAATTATACTTTAAATGTTTATTTGTAAAGCAAAAATTGTCTATAGAAAACAGCAGCTTGAAAATGTATCAACCTAATAAGGTTTCCATAAAAGATCATTCCTGGTGTCCATTTTAAACTATATGCCCATCCCTGCCCACCAGGGGATAACGCTGCTGTGCAATTTACCTGCAGAACAAGCAGCGGTGTCACCCTCTAAAGTCAGTGGAAGAAGAACAGATCAACATGTAATAAAAAATTTGTTATAGGGGAGACTCAGACAAAAACAAAATCTTCCGCGTCAGTGAATATTTCCACCATATGTACATTTTTGATTTATTGTTACACTTTAACATAAGGATCTTTATTGTAGTCATGTGACTGTCATTTTCCAATGTCACTGGACTCAACTGTCACTTTGTCATCTCCTGGTGTGATAGGATTGTGAATTGAGTCTTTGGAATGATTGTCATTGTTTCCTATAGAAACAGATTATTCTATTTCATGATTGGCACGCAGTATGGGAGAAGGACAGTAAGGATGTGATTGGTTGATACAGGTAACAAGGACCGCTCTCTTTACCGTCTCAGCGCTCTGTAGCTTGAGGTGACGTGTGTCGGTCTGTCCCCCTGTCCCTCCTGGCAGATTGATGATCAGATGTTCGCCATGTCTCAGGGGAAATTTGGCGTTCTAATCCTTGGCGCGGTTTTCTCCCCCTTAATTAGTATTCCCCTCACAGATCGGCCTCCCAACGTATCCGCATAACGCAGGGGTGCCGGGCATACTGTCATCCAGCCGGTCTAGGCCCTGATTGCTACTGACACTCCATTAGGGGGGAAACCGGATAATATGTGCAGAGGATAGAACTCTAATTCACACAAATATAATAAAACTCGTTGATTAGCATATAAATGAAGTTATATATACATTGCCGGCCGCGTCAAGAGTTTTTGTACAAACAAGCCCGGTGCCGCTTCATGAACAAACAACAAATCCAACAAATACATTTGACATATTCCGACGGGAGATCTGGCTGCAGTCTAGCGACAAGGATTTCTGAGTATTCCTCCTATAGTTTAATGGTGCCTATCGTGAGAGAGGGAGAGAGAGAGAGAGAGAGAGGGAGTGAGAGAGAGAGAGGGAGTGAGAGAGAGAGAGGGAGTGAGAGAGAGAGGGAGAGAGAGAGAGAGAGAGAGAAAGAGAGGGAGAGAGAGAGAGAGAGTGAGAGAGAGAAAGTGAAGGATAGAGAGAGGGAGAGAGAGAGAGAGGGAGTGAGAGAGAGAGGGAGAGAGAGAGGAAGTGAGGGAGAGAAAGTGAGGGAGAGTGAAAGTGAGAGAGAGAGGGAGGAAGAAAGAGAGGGAGGAAGAAAGAGAGTGAGAGAAGGGGGAGAGAAAGGAGAGAGAGAGAGAATATGAGAGAGAGAGAGAGTGAGGGGGAGAGAGAGAATATGAGAGAGAGAGTAAGGGAGAGAGAGAGGATATTATTGAAAAGAGAACTAAACCCAAGGTCAGTAATGTAATATTTTGCAGATAGTCCTTAGATGTGGTGGCTGCATTAGTTTTTTTTTAGGCTAACTACATTTTCAGCAAGTACAGAAAGTACCAGATTTTGACAGAAATTACACCTCCTTGTCACGTCAGCTCAACTGACTGCACAAACAGTGTTATCCTTCTTCTGTATACTGCTCATCCATCACCGCCCATGTAATGGAGATGTAGAGAAGATATGTTTGAAGCCGGTGACTACCATGGCTCCCTCCATAGATACAGTGGAGGAATGAGCGTAGCCAGCCAAGGACAGTAAGTGTGTTATTCACAGGATCTCAGGTGAAAATAAAGGAACAAATGTCTGAAAAAATGAATTCCGCCATCACATCTAAGGACTTGTATGCTTTGAATACTTTTTTTGTTGGGAGGGGGTTAGAAATCCTGAGCTTTACCTTAAAGTTTTAAATTTCTCCTGTGCAACTTTATCCTGCCCCGTATGTGCGATAGGTTTATTTTTGTGTCACTCTCTGTCATAACAGGTGAATATAAAGAAATATCCTTCAAAGCCCCCCCCCCAAACCCCTCTCTGCCCCCATTATCTGTGATATAGTGATGGAGACCGGAACAGTGACCATATGTCAGATTGTCTCTCATCCAGGGTTTCATAGCCAGGTTGGCAGCAGTCAAGAATTTCATTAGCAGCTCACCCAAATCTGTAATCTGAGCAATGCGATTCTAAGGTTGTGCCCAAGAGAGCGGAGCGGAGGCAGCTGGCAGCACGAGTGCCATGGGAGTACTGAATATAATTAAACAGAGCCAACCGGTAACACAAGTGCCTTAGGACTGCTGAATATAGCCAAACAGAGCCAACCAGAAACAGGAGTACCATGGGAGTACTGAATATAGCCAACCAGAGCCAACCAGAAACAGGAGTACCATGGGAGTACTGAATATAGCCAACCAGAGCCAACCAGAAACAGGAGTACCATGGGAGTACTGAATATAGCCAACCAGAGCCAACCAGAAACAGGAGTACCATGGGAGTACTGAATATAGCCAACCAGAGCCAACCAGAAACAGGAGTACCATGGGAGTACTGAATATAGCCAACCAGAGCCAACCAGAAACAGGAGTACCATGGGAGTACTGAATATAGCCAACCAGAGCCAACCAGAAACAGGAGTACCATGGGAGTACTGAATATAGCCAACCAGAGCCAACCAGAAACAGGAGTACCATGGGAGTACTGAATATAGCCAACCAGAGCCAACCAGAAACAGGAGTACCATGGGAGTACTGAATATAGCCAACCAGAGCCAACCAGAAACAGGAGTACCATGGGAGTACTGAATATAGCCAACCAGAGCCAACCAGAAACAGGAGTACCATGGGAGTACTGAATATAGCCAACCAGAGCCAACCAGAAACAGGAGTACCATGGGAGTACTGAATATAGCCAACCAGAGCCAACCAGAAACAGGAGTACCATGGGAGTACTGAATATAGCCAACCAGAGCCAACCAGAAACAGGAGTACCATGGGAGTACTGAATATAGCCAACCAGAGCCAACCAGAAACAGGAGTACCATGGGAGTACTGAATATAGCCAACCAGAGCCAACCAGAAACAGGAGTACCATGGGAGTACTGAATATAGCCAACCAGAGCCAACCAGAAACAGGAGTACCATGGGAGTACTGAATATAGCCAACCAGAGCCAACCAGAAACAGGAGTACCATGGGAGTACTGAATATAGCCAACCAGAGCCAACCAGAAACAGGAGTACCATGGGAGTACTGAATATAGCCAACCAGAGCCAACCAGAAACAGGAGTACCATGGGAGTACTGAATATAGCCAACCAGAGCCAACCAGAAACAGGAGTACCATGGGAGTACTGAATATAGCCAACCAGAGCCAACCAGAAACAGGAGTACCATGGGAGTACTGAATATAGCCAACCAGAGCCAACCAGAAACAGGAGTACCATGGGAGTACTGAATATAGCCAACCAGAGCCAACCAGAAACAGGAGTACCATGGGAGTACTGAATATAGCCAACCAGAGCCAACCAGAAACAGGAGTACCATGGGAGTACTGAATATAGCCAACCAGAGCCAACCAGAAACAGGAGTACCATGGGAGTACTGAATATAGCCAACCAGAGCCAACCAGAAACAGGAGTACCATGGGAGTACTGAATATAGCCAACCAGAGCCAACCAGAAACAGGAGTACCATGGGAGTACTGAATATAGCCAACCAGAGCCAACCAGAAACAGGAGTACCATGGGAGTACTGAATATAGCCAACCAGAGCCAACCAGAAACAGGAGTACCATGGGAGTACTGAATATAGCCAACCAGAGCCAACCAGAAACAGGAGTACCATGGGAGTACTGAATATAGCCAACCAGAGCCAACCAGAAACAGGAGTACCATGGGAGTACTGAATATAGCCAACCAGAGCCAACCAGAAACAGGAGTACCATGGGAGTACTGAATATAGCCAACCAGAGCCAACCAGAAACAGGAGTACCATGGGAGTACTGAATATAGCCAACCAGAGCCAACCAGAAACAGGAGTACCATGGGAGTACTGAATATAGCCAACCAGAGCCAACCAGAAACAGGAGTACCATGGGAGTAC